GAGTAATCGTATCAATTATGTCGGCCCCTATTGCTTGATAATAGACTACTATACATTTTTGGTAAATATAAATACAACTGTAGAGCCTCTGAAGATAATTTCGTCGAAAAAGAAAATTTTCTTCGCCGAATTTATCTTTTTTAATGACTCAATGGGTATTTTCGGTGTAAGTATACCTTAATTAATAAGGAAGTTGATGTTGAACTTTACAGATTTACAGGAAATTAGATGAAGACCGGTTCTGAGGTGTATGATAAAAAGGAACATGGCCGCATATTCAATGACAGTGATAATTTTAAGGTAGTAAATTACACAAATTTTTCCTGAATTCCAATACATAGTTTTCATCAAATAGCACTGTGATTTTGAAAAACATGTGAAGGGCTGGTAGCGTTACTGATATATGATTCCCTTCAATCGGATGAAAACTGTAAGATGTTTTCGACAGAGTTGCTTATTTTCCTAGTTCATACAGTTTTGTTACGTAATAGAATTCTTCCTTTTAATAGTGTATAACATCACATTATAAAGCGTTCCATATACTACAGCTTCGTGAAACTGTGAAAACGCTTCATCATTGGAGGTGTGAAATGAAAAGATTATTGAATTTCGATGTTTTCTAGAAAGACGAGATAAAACAGAAAACTGCTTAAGGTGTTGGATATGATGAACATATTACTTTCTATTTAACACTTATATTAGCATTCATATTAGGAATTTAGTTGCAGGGATTGTGTTTTTATATGCCAAAAATTCTATTCAGGGCGCTCTAAAGAGGTCAGGTACAATAAAACAACAATTAAAAAAAACAGTAAACGGCAATAGTCAGTGTTTGAATGTCTATTTTAGCTCTTTACAGAAGTGGTTTGGCAAGGTATGGATTTTTTTTCTTGGTTTAAAACATTAACAATTAATATAGATATATAACATATAAATGGGCATAAAGGTAAATCAAGGCATTGGAATGTAGTTATATTTACTGCTTTAGAAGAGACTTATGGACATTTGTTTGTTCGGTAATGTGACCATATTGTAGTACGCTTCTCCAATTAATTGTTTTTTGAGAAAATTGGGGACATTTTGTGGAAATTTGGGGCTTGCTTTTGGTGTTCAGTGGTATTGTAGAGAAAAGTGTCGAAATTCCCCAAAACGTTTTTTGCTCAGTCATTTTGGAAGTATTCATTATGAAAATGTCTAAGGGATTTCAATGAATTGCTTTGTGTCTCGAAACAATAAGACAACGGCCAAATCTAACAAATGCTAACTGTAGAGTAGTGAAATCCTCGAAAATCTCTGCACAGAGCTGATATTTATTTGGATGTTTCTTTTTCTACTGTATGCGACATATTTTACCCATGACCTATCATTTCAACTCAAATGTTATCATTCGTATTTATTTCTTCTAGAATTTACCCTCAGTGCTTAAGTTCTGATAAGATGGCGCTGCTTTGCTACTCTCAATATTTCACGTGAACAGAGTGGTTGTTCCATGGAGTTATTACCTGTCCTTTGACCGTCTGATGATATGTTCACCGCTTGATTTGTTTATCATAGGTAAAATTTTTATTCCTGTTTGTCTCAAATACTTAAGTTTATTCTCAGATGTATGACATTTGTGTTCGTTCACTCGGCCATGACTTGGTATCAGGCTGTTTGCTTAAATTACTGGGCTACCAAATTTCCCCCCTCCATCAAAATCCAGCATATTTACTGCCTTTCATATTGTTTTAGCAATTTGACTGCGTTTTTTAATCATAAACTATTACCAAGCACATTTTCTAAAAGGTCTCGAGTTACTACTATGAATCAGTTTAAGGAAATAGAAGGAGAGCCCGGCACATTAATGCAACGTGTTTTGGTAGCATTATTGATTATCATATTACTTGAAGGTCTCACACGAGAAGTAAATATTTCACTGTCAGACGGGCCGAGATTTCTGTATGACGTTTAAAGAGAACGTCTCCTAATAAATCTGTTATAATTATGGAAGATATTTCGTACCAGAGAAAAGTTAGGCTGTGTAGTAGTGAAATGGCATTTTTAATCTTGAAAATAACTTATTGTTCTTACTTAGCACGTTAGCCATGCCCGTGTTACTTTGTGCTCAGGTATAGTTGCAATATAACCAGTTACTTTGTGTGTGTGTGTGTGACTCAAAGTAGTTTTGAATAATGTACAGCGGAAAGAGTGGTGTTGACTTGATTATACTGAACCTGGTTTCCATTAGTGAGGGACCGAACTACTTAGGTTTGGGTCAATAAACTAGTTGTCAGAAGTAAAAACAGAAATAACACTTTTGGAACAGTTGAGTGCTTGTGAATATTCTTACTTGTGGATGAAAGGCTTGGACCTGTGTCAAGTATCTGTGCTCGTGAATCATAAATAAGTATCCTATCACTCTATTGTACAATAAGGAGAAGAGATTCAGTCTCTTAAGTTATCCTTTGTACGAAAAATCTGTCGAAGAACGGTCCATCCCTGTGGTAGACGTCTAAAATCCTTCCAGTATGTGATTCATATATTAGGGAAGCGCTAGCTGCCTGTGTGTCGCTTTCTCATTTGGAACATCACCAGAGATACAATCAGAGTCGTGAAAACATTGCTATAAATGCTACTTTAACAAACATTTGTCGTAACGGTCCTTGTTATTTATGGACTTGACTCACATTACGCAAGGTTTGTCAGAAAGGAAGGGTTTCTCAGAAAGTGTCACGAAACGGAAAGTGAATCGTAGTTGTCACGTGAAAAAGGTTTACCTGCAGTTTTAAGGACGTCGTCTAGGTCCTCAATCGTCGATAGAAGTTACGCTTCTGTTCTTTCAGCAGAGTGGTAATACTGCTTGCTTCTTCAGTGTTTTGACCAGCTGCACTAGCTGCCAGCCGCCTGAAAATCCTTGGATGAATTTTATAAGATCCTATTGATTCCCCTATAATGGTGCAAGACAGAGGTTGAGATAGATACACCAAGAGGACGATTGTTGTTAAACATTGATGTTTTTACAACTTATGTGACGTTCTGAGGTGATTGTTGGTATAAGGTCACAAAAAAGTGATTTACCACTACTGCTTTATCGTGGTTCTCTTTGCTTAATTCGAATTCCTCAGTTCTGATAGTAAACTCGGAGGCATTTTAATGGATCTGGTTCCTATGGCCAGTATACAACCACCGTCTGTGAAAGTATGGCTCGCTCTAGTCGCATCCTGAAGTTCATTTGTTATTAGCTTCATAACCTCTGGAATGCCGAGAGAGTACATGCACACTGTAGCGCTTCCCCTTGAGCCTGAGCTTAGAAAAGATTTTCCGTTTGTTCATAAAGAACAGTGCCTTGTTCTCGTGGGAACGGTTTTTGGGTAAAGGAGCAGAGGTGCTCAGACATGCAGCTACTTGTAAACATCAGACAAGGCCTTAATTGTGGGAAACGTCAGTTCATGCTGCTCCACTCGTGGCACCAACTTTGTCTGAGCTTCTACACTAACACCATTTACTAATCAGCCACTGCAGTACATTAAAAAGTCAAATAAAAACTTCTACTATTCTCCTACCCTCAAACTGTCTTATTTCCTCATGATTATTTTTTTTTATTTGTGCGCATGAGTGGTAAAACGTCTTCACTTGTGTTCAAAATTCGAAGCCGTTGATTCAACTCGTGCATCCCAAGAAAGCGGTAACCGTTGTCGAGATAGGGAGTTGGAACAGTGCCTTCAAAGAGCGGGCTTTTCTTCATATCCGATTCCACGGTTTGTACCTCAGAGACATAGTTGTTTCAAGCTATTACAGCAGCAATTACAACGGCAAAACAATTCGCATATACCAGGTTCTTTTTAAATCCCACACTAAGAAAGCAATAAAGTTTGGGTCACCCGACAAGAATTTACCGGATCGGTCATTCACTCTTATAAGGAAACGTTTCCATAGATACGCTCAGCATTTTGGCGGAATGCGTTTAATTGATCAGACCACATTCGCCTCAGAAGTGAGGTACAAAGGGATTGAAAACACCCAAGGGCGTATAACAGATGATAATTTGGGAGTCCTGTTCACAACAGCCCTACAGCTCCATATGATGGGACGAGGGGCTGCCTTTCACTACAGTACGCTTCAATAAAGTGGTTGTAATAGGATTCTCACGGCAGCTGCAATACTTTGGTGCATAATTCGAAGATAATTAGCTGATTGCACAGCAACTACTGTAAGCATCGTTGGCTTATTAGGGATGGAATTAGCGATTTTAATGATGGAGTATAGTTTGAAGAGGAAATATTGGTCGAAGTATCTCTTTCCGACTGAAGGGTTCTAAGCATCAACCTATTGCATGTAGCGCAACGAATGTGCATTATAAGAAGTTAGCATAACTTATACATCAATCACTACTGAGTTTCTGTATAATCTTTTCAGCAAATATTAGGAAGGCTCAGAATCAGATCCCTAACAGGTCAAGGAAGGTGTCTTCATTAAGTTCAGTAATACCGGGGTATTTTTCTGGTGATCCACATTTTCGTAACAATGAGTCCTGTCTGATAAACGCTTTCTTTATTCCTCTTCTTTGGCGAGGACCAAAGCATATGCTTCAGAATGAGTAGAACCAGTATAAGCACCATATCTTTTGTTATTAGATAAAAAGGAGAAAGAAACTGCTTTCATAGCTGTGACCAAGTGGGAATCAGGCATGGAAATCAAACCCGCCATTTACATAAGAAAACAAGAATTCACGAGTTAGATGGTATGAATTATGTAGCTTCCTGGTATTATTTAGAAATAAAGCTGACTTCTGTTGTTTGTCTAAACACGTCTCTTGGTCAAAAAGATCAAGAAGTTGTATACAACAACTAGGAAGCGCCACTTCTGTTCACGTACTCCCTGAAACAACTGTTGTTCCTAAATTCCTTTTAAGAATGTAAGGCATCAGAGATAATCAAATTGGTCAAGGAGGTAGAATCTAGCGATTGCAGTATTTGTTTAAAATAATCAATACAGCTAATTGTATCCTTGAGGACTCGTAAATTTTTCGAAATGTAACTGGATTTTCGAGCTTTTGGTCTCAATCACAGTCCATTATGCAAACGTTACGCGATAAAGTATATGTACCAATTTACGCCGCTAAAAGTAGAGGTGCACCAACAGTTAAAATAACTATAATCGGTGCTGGGCCGATTGGTATGGCAACTGCATTTAGTCTTCTTAATAAAGTAAACAAGTGATTGATAATTTATCTTATTTGTAGGGTATTCCAACAGAATTGGTTATTGTAGACTTGAATATTGAGCATGTTGAAGCTGAAATCAGTGACTTGCAAAATGCTAGACAGTTCCTTCCAAACGTTGCCATTTATGGGGGTTCAAGTAATGATTAAAATAGCTTATTTCAAAGATTACAAGCTTTCGTCGAACTCTAGTATAGCCATATTATGTGCTGGCGTTGAAAGGCGAGATAATGAAAGTCAAATTAGTCACGTTCAAAGGAATGTTGACGCATTTAAAAGTATTTTAAATTACTTAGCCTCTGCTTAACTTAATTAGCTATCATACCACACATAGTTGAAAATAGTCCGAAGTGTATCATTATTGTTGCTGTAAAACCAGGTAATAAGCAAAATATAGACCAATCAAATATAGTTGACGTGCTGGCATATGTTACTTGGAGAATAAGTGGTTTCCCTACGAATCGGGTTCTTGGGGTCGGCACTATGTTAGATTCATCGCGGTTTTGTAATGCTATAAGCAAAAAACTTGGTTTATCTGCAGATTCTGTTAGTGGGTATATACTAGGTGAACAAGGAGAGAAATCAGGTAATGCCCAGTGGTTACACATCTATATAAGTAGTGCCAATATGGAGTTCTGTCACTTGTGCTGGTGTGAAGCTTCGAAGTGTCTATCCAGGAATAGGGACAGCAGACGACAAAGAGGGTTACAACAAAATTCTCCAGGATTTAATTGAAAAGTACGTCCTCGACAATTTTTTACTTTCAGTGAACGTGCAATCGATAAAGGTAAAGGAGCTAATTCTTTCGCAATGGGGCTTGCTACCAGTGTAATTTGTGAGTCAATATTAACTGATGCAAACAGTATCTTGCCTCTATCAACTCATGCTAAGGTATTTTCAAACCATATAAAACTAATATTTATTATTTTTAGCATGAAGGGAAGTTGGTGGTAAGTTAAAACTTTGATTACACAGAATCCCACAAAAGCAGTCAAATTGTTGACAAAGGAATACACAGCTGAGTAAATAGATCTGTCCGTATCTACCCACCTAGTATGAGATATTGACAGGCAATTATCGTATTCGCGCTGTGGATATAGATAAGAAGATACGCGTGAAGTGATTTAGAACGGAATTTCATGACTAGTAATTTAGTGTCTAGAATGTAGGTCAGTGCAAATAAACACATTTTAGTCGTAGAGGACAGTGGGTTTCCGGTTATAATCGAAATACTAAAAAAGTATTTTGCAAGTTATATTTTCCGAATTTAGCCTCCTGATCTCTGATTGGGATATTCTGACTACAAAGTAGTTACAGAAATCTAAATTCTCATTCTCAGAAAATATTATAAGCTCACAGGATATTACATTAATTTCACGAAAGTTGGGTAGTTTATCGGTGAAAAATACGATGTGTCAAGTGAGAACCTGAGTATTTCTTAAAACTTTCATCCCAGCATACTAAAAATTAAAATTTTTTATGCATCTATATGAATAATTTCGCGCTGTGCTCTTTTAAGACATTTAAATAAACTTGGCTCAATAAATGGAAACTAACAATTGAAGTCATTTCGATTTTAATAACTGGCAGATGATTCGGACTCACACCTCAAAAGGTGAAAGAGTTTTGAAAGTCATCATGTTTCTGATGACTAGGGGATTTAAGGGATCCTCATTGCTAAAAATAAAATCTGTGAGTCCTCTGCTTCTGGGTAAAAAAAGATATAGCTGTAAGAATACTTTATTGTACAGCTGAGGGTGGGTAGACTCATTATCCCGAAACATGTCACAGGTCCGTAGAAACTGCTAGATAATCTCTAATGATTGTATTCACGTGGTGCTGCTTTTACCTAATTGAATGCAATTAGCAAACGCTCATGACAGAACTGATACATGTGTAGTTCCTTACCAAGGATTTTGGAATATTTTAGCTACAGTAGCCAAAGGGAATGAATGGGATGAACCTATTTTAGCTACAGCTAACTACCGTGCCTCAGTTCATGAAGGTGCTTCGCTTCTTTCTCAACTAGATATCAGGTTGAGACTCAAAAAGTGGATTCTTTACTCAAATCTTCATATAGACCTGAGGAGTGTCTCAGCCTTCACTGGACTACTAGGTAAAATTCACTTTATACTCCAGTAACTCACTAAAATTGCGACCTCACAAAACACCATTGATTCCCCGTTTCATCATGTTTTCATTATTCTCATAGATTAGTTACCTTGTAGTTTTCTCATCTCCCCACTTCTTATAACCATTATTTTCTTCAGATGCTCGTTTGTTTTCTGTCCCCTTGGTCTATCTGTACCATTTTGAGTAAACAAATAGCTGTTTGCAGTGCAATATCCAAAATGGCTACATGCAATGTAAATTGAATTCCGGAGATTCTTACTGTATATGTGTGCTGCATTTTAGACACGCGCTAGTAAAAAACTATAAGTAACTTACCTTTAAAAGAACAGATAATGCATACCATGTGCGCCTGTCCATGCAAAATCTTTAAGTATCATCCGACTTAGCTGGTTTTCTTGTTCGTCTGATTGCTAGATCCAAAGCAGTACTATTTGATAGCTCTCTACTAATAGCTTTAATACTGTCATTTCATAATTTTCAGTTAGAGTGAGAAGTAACTGTCGTTGTATGGGTGAGTACGAGATTGAAACTCCTGGAGTTTTTGACTGGATTATGATGGTCCTCAACCATGTACTAGAGGTTCTCATATACAAACTGATTTAGTCGGTACGGTAGCACTTACTTTTGCAGCTAAATGTCATGACGAAATGGACTCAATACTGTTTTTAGACTTTCCACAAAGCAGACATTATAAGTGCATACCCTTACAAGATAGTTAGCAAAGTAATTTCTAGATTGGGAAAACACTCCACCTTCTTCGCAGATGCTAACGTCCGTCTCAGCGAATAACGACTTGAAAATCGGAATAAGCTTTAACGTCACTAAATTAATCAGTGCCAATAAACCTGCAGCTTGGTGTCCAGAATACGACAGTTTTGTGTGAGAGGAAAAACCTTAAGGGCCATATGCCAAGCAGGCTCCCTATACGATTAGAAATTTCATTCATCACACTGCCTCCAGCATTCATACAGACACCTAAATACGCGAACTTGACATCTAATTTTAGCTCTTCGCTTGCAGTGGGTGAATGTAGGTACAAGCCAGCCTTGCAACATTACTTTGCATTTAGATGGAGCTAAGCGCATATTACAATTACTGACCCTCAACCAAGTGAAATTTGTACAGCCCCTATGCTGTTTTACAGTAATATGGTGTCGTCAAGATCAAGAAGTCTTTCTCTAAGTGACGGGTCTACACTATCACTACACAAGCCCTTCAGAGCTGAGGGGCTCTTCGGACTATAGTTAATAGCTAAGTTAAAGAGATCGAGGAGTTCTGTCTAAGCTGAGGGTTGGTTGAAATAGCGATAATAGCCATTTGTATTTTCCAGAAGTACTAAGTGTTTTCAAAGACCGTTAAAGATGCTGACAAAGATAGCAGGGACAACTCCATCAAGAAGACAATTCCAACGAGCATTTCCGTCCAAAGAATGATCTAATTTTAATCAAAGGTAACCTGAAATTCAGGAAATACGATTTCTATTCTGCTAATGGAGTTTAATCAAGGCACCCACGAACGGAACGCTTTTCGCGGATCGACTTGCAACGGATTATTAACCCGATGCGTTACGTAGAGGTTTCTCAATGAGTTCAGTACCCATTGATGGGACATTCTGATTCACCCAGTAATTTCCTTGACGGGAGTTTCATCATCTTTGAAATGTCCCGGCGTTAAGTTTCTTCAACCGAGTACTTCAATGCTTCCTAGTGTCTTTCAATTTTAATCTAGAAATGTGATTGAAAGTATGAAATACTGAGGCTTTTGGTCAGCCTGATTATTATTTTAAGTGCCCCATTCAGCGTTCGGAGATGTTTGTCAACGTACTATCAGCTTCGAAAACCGCTTCAGTGACACTACGACTCTTACTCCCAGTGGCTGTGATGAGCTGCAACAGATAGGAACTATTTCACAGATGTCAACTAGGTTTCCTACATGGGACTTTACACAGAAATGAAGCCTGGGTTCCATCTCACCAGCCTTCATGCTCCTAATGTGAACAATGCCTGATCTTATGCATAAGAACATTGCTGAGAATTACACTGACAGGAGTCAAGAAGTTGCAGTGAACTCACAGAAATCAAATGGCTATGAGCGTGACGTTCTTCTAAGCCGCAAGCACTCGTCATTTTCATGGTATCATGTAAGTGCATGCTATCTTCACCAATACTAACTGAAGCATTGATCTAACATGGCTTGAAACGTGGTAGAGGTAGCAGGTGCTACCAGTTTGCTTATGTCAAACTGTTGGCAACGACATTTATGACAAATACAAAATCACGAGATAAGCCTGGAGCAAATCAGACAAGTACTGCAGAAGGAACGACAGAGAGCAGTATGATTCATGTAGCTTTGGATTAAAGTGCCAAGGAAAGGATATTTAGACAGCAAAAAGGTAACAACTATGGACTAGAAGAAGATTGAGATCCGTGCAAAAGATAATCCTCATTATTTGACCTGCAACCACGTACTTTCCACGAAGCACCTAGATGACTCTAATCAAAGTTCAAACCCTCAACCTGTGTCCGCAGCTAGCACTACGACATATGTTCGACTTGTGTACTTTAGGATCCCACTCAGCTTATGGTAGAACTCATCCTTAATTACTGCCCGTGCTTAGGCAGAGATAATAAAAGCCAAAGGTTCTAACTCTATGATCACCTAGCCTTACGTAGTACACACTGTTCGAATTTGAAAGTGAAGATATTCAAAGCACTTCACTGAGGTCCTGTATGCGTATTTCTGTAACGTAATTTACACCAACGAAATTTCTCAAGATTCAGGACAGACCATCCTATTGTCTGATTCGTATGAATGTGCGAACGTTGCATGTGGAAAGCATGAATGCCGTTTAAGAAAATCCGTATTAGAGAGAGAAAAAACTTCACGAATTTTACTAACTGGCAGAGAATTTCAAACGATAGCGGACATATCGAAATTGTAGCAAATGTGGTGATTAAAAAGGTCCGTGTATAGAAATATAATAGTTAAGGACCAAGTTCGTATGCCACTCGATTCTGGAGCCCATTTGTACCATCCACTCGGAGTCTGGGTGTTCAGCTCACAAACGTTGTGAATATAGCTTACTTGGCACAGCTTATGAACGTGTGGCCACGTGAAATCATTCCGATGGGAAGACGGGATTCGATCCAACCTCATATGTAGCAGGTCGTACTATATCACTGAGATTAGTAGCCATTACTAATCTGCATAAATTTTGAATCCCGTCCTAATTTGAGAAATGGCACGTTTCAGTGATGTGGAGCGGTAGAATCCAGGACATGCTTCCCGACCTATATGAAACTGGTCAGCTGCACATACCTGCTTCCAAGTTCGTGGTATTCACACTGAGATTTGAACACAGGACCCACCGCTTGAAGCTTTAAAGCGTTTTCCACAAGGTCGGCGGTATAAAGAGTGACTGTATTTCGCGAAATACTGAGACGGCCAGCAACGATTTTGAATGTAAAAGATTCTTGTCACTGACTCTTGGGTGATTAATCCAAAAACAAAACGTAAGGGACCAATGTAGAAAATCTTGGGAATACACCGGTTATCCAAACTTGTCATAAAGGTTAAGAGTGTTGTGGCTACCGAAACCGAAAAGAAAGTAACGCAATCTAGGTTTTGTCAGAATTCACTACCGATTGGAAAGCTGCCATGGTTTTTACATTTATCCATGCACAAAATGAAGTATTGACCAAAGAGATGAGTAACAATTTGCCTTAGATACTTTGTCAACTTATGGTGTTATCACAATTAAAATTGATATAATATACCTGAGGTTAATGTTTATTCTGTAAATTTTTTTGTTTAGGGACTTCAAGGAATTGATAAAGATATATTCTTCAGCTTGCCGTGTATTGTGAATGCAAACGGAGTTAGGGGTATAATGTTACAACAATTAGATGAAGATGAAAAAGAAAAGCTATTTACGAGTGCGAAAAAAATGGAAGAGCTTCTTCAAAGCATTGAATGGTGAAGATCGCATAGCGACAGAATAGAAAACAAAACATGAGAAGTTTAGATTATTTTTGTATTTTAATTTATTGTACAAGCTGTCCTTCCATGACGACAGGTTTTAATCAGTCCCCCTAAAAAGGAAATAACAATAATTTGGTGAAATAAACAACACATTTACACAGTTGGAAAATTAACTGTTTTCATTTTAATTTGAAGTAGCACTGAATGCGATGACAGGAAGACAATACTACTATGATTCGCATTATTTCATACACTTTGTGCAAGCTAGGTTAGATAGTGATTACACAGTGTCACCACTACCGGGAACTAAATTTCATGTTAATTAAATGAAATAATTAAATAAATAAATACGAATTTCTAGTACTTGAATAAGTTCTACAAGAAAGGAGTCACGCGATTGTATAATCTGCAAAGAAGCAATTTAATCCAATTTCATTTCCTTCTGTATATTCGTTGAACGGTAAGTTATTAATTAGTTTGTTGCCAGAGTCCCCTTGTACCTAATTCTTTCTGATCATCTGATCCTCAACGTCGAACGAAGGCAACTGTTGATGAAACCCAGCAGCAGTCAGCTGGAAATGCTTTCGATGCACCGTGTAGCAAGTTTCTGGACCATGTATGAGCATTTCCTTGATAGACTAAGTTAACAGATAGTTTCTGGAAGGGTTACTTGTCATTAACTTTTGGATTTATTTCTAGTGACCCACGTTATTGGTGAAGTAATCAATGCTGCTGAGAAAGAGAGAAAATTCACATTTAGGTAAACACGATTCTCCCTCTAATATAATGAGACTTAGCCTCCTATCGATCAGGTCAACTAAACTAGAGACAGGACGACAATCAATTAAAATTGAGAAAGCAGATATTGTAGAAGTAACTTACATGTCGATTTTTCGTCTCTTTGCTGCCAACTGACGAACTTCCTTTTCTTTTCTTTTGATCGAATGAACCATCTTTTTGTACACGTTCTTGTGCTTTTTCGGCAACATCAACTCTCTTAGTTTTCGTTCAGCATTTGCTTCCTCATTTTCTTTGAATTTCTTAGCTTCATTACTTTCAGCTCGACCAGGTGTTATCTTTGGCTGCATACCTAAAATAAAAGATAATGATAACAGGTTTTAAGTACAAAATTACGTATACCTACGTATAGCATAGATGAGCAAACATTTTGAGGTCTACTGAGGTAACACAGACAATTTTTTTTATGTGAGTGGCAACAGACTAATACTTGGATGATTATTACATAGGTAATGAAGACTATCTATCTCTATAAGTGCAAAGTAGCTTTATTTGGAAATTACGAAGAACTATTCCTACATGCTTTAATCAACCTAATCCATTCTCTCAATAAATTTCCACCTTATTCATTGAAGCGTCAGATACCTAGAGATATAGAAGTACTTGGGACTTCTTTATAACATGCTCTTCATCGGATAAATGCTTATCGAACAAGAATTGTTCCATAGCAGAGATTCCTGGGACAGTAGGTCTGTGCTCAGGAGATTATATGACTCTGGAGGTTTTCAGTCACTACTACATCTCGCTTGTACAAAAATCAGGTGATCAACTGCTGAACGTAGCTGACAAACATAAAGTATAAAATTACACATATGATGAATACAATGTGCAAATATACCTCCATCATCTAGATTGGTCTTGATTAAGACCACTGTCTGAAACCATATATATATATATATTGGTGAACTCCAGACACGATTACACTTCTTTGCATAGGTCATTAACTTCGTACACCACACCCTAGGTAATGTAATACTGGAATTGGGTCCTGTAGTAGTGTATATTTCCACCAGTGAATAATTCCGTTTGATATAACAGTACAGACAGTTGATATTGTACTACCGTGGTTTATAAAATAAAATTATTGTATAATGTAACATCAGGATATGCGTGTTTCTTACATTAGTCAACTGTCTTACCTATTTCACATAAACTTCTATGCCTACTTTGCGCATCGCATGCGTACTGTTTCTATTTAAGACATATGATGATTATAAAGCAAAGGTGTTTCAGTACGTGAAGACTTTTCAAACCTTAACCTGTTATCCATAGTACACCACACATTTTTGATTGGTTTACACAACGATTGAAGAAATTATAAAGACAAAAGTACTAACACATTTGAATGAGTATCCAAAACATGTCAGTGTTACTATTGATATCAAAACATCCTACAAAAAAGGAAACATACCTTTCGTTACTTTGTTAAGCTTGTTTCGTTTCTTTTTCTGTCCATCGGTTTGCAAGTCACTTTCCTCTTTCATAGATACGTCCACGTCATCATCTAAAGGTGTATCATCTTTAGATGTGCCTTCTGACTGTGCTTGCACTCTTGCTCCACGTATTTCAGCCAAGCTCACCAAACCAGCAAGATAATCAGCCTCTGGTGGGCGATAAATAGATGCACCGTCACCAAGTCCAGGAGCAACACCTGTTAGTCCACCACGGTTTGTAAGTGAGGTGATTGCGGTGTTTAAGGCTTCATCTGTACTACTGCTTCCTGCAAACGGACTCAAATGAGGTGGAAGACTACAACCTGGAAGGTAATCTTGTGTAGGCAGCAGTCTACCTGCGTTTAAGCAGTCGAAAACCCACTGAGGTTGAACATAGTATCTATCGTTTAAAAAAGTATTTCATGAAAAGTGATATGAAGCACCAGTCGTGAGCACTGATAATAAATCTAGAAGATATTAAACAAAGAGGGTCTCGTACAAACAAATTTAGTAAACTTTAAAACTTAATATTGGGATTTATCAGTATCACGTGAAATGAAATAGTTATTAACAAAATATACAATTCTATAGATACGACAGTTCAAGATTAAAAAATAATTCTGTGAACTACAGGAATGATTAAAATGCGACTGACTAGACGACTTTAACTCCCACATTTTTGGATATGCAGACAATGATTATGTAGTGTGCAGAATAAGATGAAGAACGAAACTAGATCAATATAGTACAAAAATAAATGGTACATTGTTTTAATAACGATCTCAATATTGATGATTGAGGTGTAGTTACTTCAACCCGGACAGCACACAACTTCTGAAATATCGGATTATGCTTTCAAGACAGATAGGTGAAACCTACCTGGGGATATCACAGTAACAGAACTTGACTGATCAAGTCAAGACAACTCAAAATACCAATTGGCTTCAAAAGTTGAAATTGATTTGAAATTTCTATGATGCTTATCTGAAGTCTATTTCATTTCTTTTTTCACTTGTGGATATTCGATTCTTTAAGAATCTAAGCAGTATATTTCAAATATTGAGCCATGTTGATCCATAGTTAAAATAATTTCAGTTGAGCAAGCATTAAATCATGAGACTAGCATAGTTAAGAAACACTTAGATATATGCCTTATTAGTGTGGAAAATACGGTCAATTTATGTAACACTAAGTTTTTATGCACATTGTAGACAATCAACAAAACCTAGAGAAAAGAACTCAAATGCAGTTGGAACATACAAGTTTGAGACTGATAATTCATCTACGACATAATACAGAGAAAGTAATAAACAATCATTCTGTAAATATATTACCGTGTTAATTTCATTTCCGTCATCGGACGATCTACAATTTGGTAATCAATGCTAGGATCATCCTCTTGAAACGTGGCTCCCGGACAAAGAATTTTATCCCAAGAACACTCTCCGCCACACGATCGTATTATCAAGCAAATTACTTCTCGAGGAACTTCACGCATCAAGAAGAAACGTTTGTTCTTGAATAGTTTCTTTATGTTTTGAACTTCCAGTTGTTTATTTATAGCTTGTGAAACCTGTTCATCGATAGCCTACAAAAAATAGGGTCGAGTTAGAAACGTGCAGAATAATCCCAGTGCAGTGTATTGTACTATTGTAATGGGATGAAGCTAGAAAATTAAACTGAGACTAAGGTTGAACCAGATCTTAGCCACACCTAAATTTTCTGCCTACCTTAGAAGTAATAATATATTTTAAATTATGCTTTTTATCAGAACAAGTTTGTTTCACAAGCGCTTCAAAATACAGTTATATATGTATATAATTAATATCAAAGTTGTAAAAGCTGCCTTTGCTCTGAAACGAAGGAAAGATTTGACTTGATAAGTATTTGATGAAGATGACGACAATGACTAAGATAATAGCTTATAGAAATCGTGGACACCTCCATCAGCCTGATGAAAGTTATTGACCATTTGAGTTGATAGGTGTAATGAATCTTTCAGTGACCATAATTGCAAGGGGTTAACACTCTAACATATTTTCTTGGGTCCTAGGGTTCGAAGTTATATGAGGAATAAGTGGAGCTCGGTCAGAACGAACCCGACAGAAGCGAACATGTTTTAAGCCCGATGGCAGTGTGTTGATCAAATTTTCTGAAACAGAAAAATGGGAATTCAACAGTTGCCGTAATTTATGATCTTAAGGTGGAATACAATATTGTCCGATGGTGTTGTAATGTCATCTGAGCCTGAAGAACATACGTGGCATGTTACGCCAACGCGTTCCTTGATGAGTAATGCCGGCTAAATTAGGAAAAAATGGGACCCAGCTATGAAGCCTACAAGTATTAGTGAGAGCTAAGTCACAGACCGCAGGTTGCTTGACTGAGTTTTAAGACGGCGTAAACACCAAACATTTGAAATACTAGTTATGAGTTGATTGGACTACTAGAAATATTTAGCAAAGTATTTGTTAGTTAACAAATACGTTGATATTACGACCGTTCACTAACTTCAATGACAGCAAGAACACTTAATTCACAAAACAACAGGTGATAAAACTTCATTTGCCACACATTCAGCATTTGGTCAAGTTAATTTGTTGCAAGTGTGAATTTATATAAGCGACTACTTTTTCGGTGAAGACTGATCTGTAAAGCAGTCGAAACACTGATTTAGTGGATTGAGTTAGATAATAAACGCTCTGTACTTAGTGGGAGGATTAAATATACCATCTAGAATTTCAAATCTAGATAAAAGAACGATTTG